TTACTGGTGTACACTCCTCACACACCACTGAATTTCTTCTTCCATACCCTCACCTTGTACCCATAGAAAAAGAAAGCAATATTTGTCATTCTACAGTATGACATTATGGAAACAGGTAATATTTTAACTGCATATATAGCATCTGGCATAACTTAGCTAGCAGACACCTCTGAAATTCACCCTTGCAGGTTTAGTGGGGAGGAACAGAGGATGACGCTCTATTCTGCAATACATTAAGATAACCTAATAGTTTATGTCATAAAAACCAGCATACAATCTTGTTTTTGAAGCACTCTTCCATTCTTTTCAAAGTTTTCTGAAAAGCTTTAGAATTAGGAAAAGGGAAGGAACGTATCCTGTTGCTGACCTCCTCAGATCTGTTCAGAATGGGCTGAATAAGGGTCAAAGAAATAATCAGTTTTCCTTATCTATGGTTTTCTTTGTAAGTCTTATTATTGGAGAACAATCAGAACTTGCCATTCTTAAATGCCTCCGCTGCCCCCTGTTGTCTCTTCTCTGCAGCTTCACACAGAAAGCTAACAAGTTCTCTGCCACAAAATCCCTATGTGAAAATTACGCACAAACTAGTGGACCACACCTCTAGATGCAGTTCTTTTGCAGACTGATGTTATAATAATTTTTGAAAAAGATTTGATTGCTAGGGAAGCCTCATTCCAGTAAGATACTGCAGAACAAACAAAACCCATCTATTACACTGAATGTTGACAGCAGAAATTGCTTCAAATTAGCCAGAGTACCAATAAACTGTGCTGAAGACTTACAGTCAGCTGGGAAATAGCTGTCTTCCTCTTTTATGCAAACTTCTGTAGATATGCTATTAAATTGCTGCTTATGCAAAGATTTTTTTTTTCCTAAAGATCTGTTAACGGGAAAGGCAAAACAATGCCCTAAGCTAAAATATTTTCCAAGAAATACAAACACAATGGCCACAAAAGAACATAGAGCAAAAAAATTACATGGTTCCATTGACAAGAAACCCATACATACTGGCTTATTCATGGACTCACTGATAAAAAAAGATGGAGACCAAGACTGACACACAAAAGAGCTGAAAATGCAAAGTCTCCCAGCCACTGAGCATATGTGTGTGTGTGTGTGTGGTAGGGAGAAGGAAAGGCTGGAGTAAACAGAACCTAAGCTATAGGCAGATTCACATATCAATAAGGCAAGACACATGTTGGATTCCACAGTTTTAAATAGTGCGCTCCTTTTGACGCATTTGATGGCTTTGAAACAACTGCCTTTGAGTCTTTCTAGTAAAATGTAGCTATTAGTCCCAAGAGAAACTGGTTACAATTGGGTTTTTTATTCATGGAATTAGCTGCAGGAAAGAACTTGGCTCAAGGAAGCAATCCACATGTGGTTGGATGGCGTGGTTTCATCTTTTGAGAGAGAAATATACAGAAAATCTGGCACATCATTCTTGAAAGACTGGAAAGGCTTTGAAGTACAACTTGTTCTTTAACCACACAACCATCTTAGTGAAACTCTTATCAGATGGAAGGATTCATCAGGAAAAATCCTGTAGGATCTCATGAGGTGCAAAGAGCTAAAGTAGAGGACCCTTTCTTTAACCTATGTCTGTAAATTCTAATAAAAAGGGATTGGTGGATTTCCCTCAAGAGGAAAAATAAGGCAAGCATCCACCCTACTGCAAATAAAGCAATGGGGGAGGACGAAAACCAGCTTGCTGAAATACTTTGCTCAAGAAGGTTACCTGATAAATACAGAAATCCACATTTCACTGATTAGGAAATAAAGACAGGCTAGGAATATAAAATAGGTCAAAACCAGCAATAGCCTAAGCATTATTAGAAATACATAGTTCTGACCCCATTTTGTACAGTTTAGCTCGAATCTGCTCTCAGACTGGGGCCTCCACTGACACCTCGTGGCCCTTGTGTAACATGTCATGGTTGAAATGCAACCCTCCTTTTCTTTTGAAGCAATTGCTCTTTTCTGGCAAAAGTGGTAGAAAAGCATTTCTGATTAGTTAAAACGTTTTGCTTGCAAAACCTTTGATTTGTATATTTGCTCACTGTGCGTAGGGAAAAAGAGTATAAAAGGTAATACTGTGAGGAGAAATGCCCCTTTACCTGTGCACAGATGTGCTTGTAACGGTCAATGGTACACATGAGTAACCTTAGAAACATCAGATATAAACTAGGAACTGAAACCAGCTAAAGAGAACAGGAGACTGTTTTGGCAGACTTCTGCTGAGAAAGTTAATAGTTACAGTTGTATGTACTAAAAATCAAGAGCTACCGTCCACAGTATCCTAATGGCTCTAAACAAACCTGCTTCACAAGAAACAGCGTTAAGTTCATCTTTCTATTCAGTACATCATCTGACTTTTCTTTTAGACAATAATCTTTAAACAGGACAATAACCACAGGAAGGAAATTTTTGTTTTCTTCATTGTTTTCCACCCAACACTCCAACCATTACAAACATTGCAGAACTACCCCAAACTAAAATCAGAGTAAGAACTACAGTAATCAGACACAAATGTCCCATATGGCTCTTAGTTACATGAATGTCCTGACATGAGCAACTGTGGCTCAGTGCTACCATAGATACTGGAGAAAGTGTCAAGTGCATTTCAAGATGAACCTGACTTACATAAAAATTGTAAAAACGTGACCCAACACAAAAGCTGCAGGTGGAAGCAACTCCTTACAGGCACAAGCAACTCCAAACCCACAATTTACACGCAGAAGACTGTGCCCCATTATGAAAGTTGGAAGTACTTGAAAAGAAACCCAAGTGTCTAATACATGATATGTAAAAAATCCAGAAAGACTTCATTTTTGTAATACAAAGCATTAACAATTCTAGCCTTGTCTACAACTGAAGATTGTTAGCAGAAGGCACCAGCGCAATTACATTCCAGGGGACTGCAAACTGAATACAGATGGGAATTGCAAGCAGACAGATTTTTATCACCATCGCCTTCTAGAGATTTGAGAGAAAGGAAATACTTCGTTCAAGATCCAAAAACATCTCTGACACCTCTGTGGTGCTTATCAATTTGACACAACTATCCTGGAGGTTGTTCAACAAGAGACCAGCCTGGTTATGCCCCACAGGTCCTCAGGCATACAAGCAGCATGCAAAAAAATATTTGACAGGAAGGTAGAGAAGCACACACCAAAGACATTGTTAAACTTCCATTACGTAAATGCTTTATGATACAATCTAATTACATGAACAAATACACAAAAGCTAAGCATTTGTATACAGCAGATGCATAGCACCACAGTGCACAGACTAATACTCAGAAAACCAAACCATTTAGGTAAGTTTACACAGTAAACAGTAATTAATCCATAGCACAATCTAACACAGGATTTCGTAAAACCCAATAGCATAAAAGTCAGCAACTAAACCAGTTAATTACAAATTTAAGTGCTCTTAGGGCTGTACTACTGGTTGAAAATAAAGAGTGCCTATAACACAGTATAGGAGATGACAATAAAACCAGCAGAGTTCTGCACAAGAAATGTCTGTATTGGGTATAATCAAAATGATGTATAATAAAAATTACGAAGAGCTACACGTGGAAATTAGATCATTACTACATTGCATTTTCTGAAAAGTATTGTGCACTTCATTATGCATATGCAGAGGGAGAGTCACAATTGAGATTCGACTCAGACTTCCTGCCACACATCTGTTACACAGTCTTACTAAAATTTGAGTATGGCCATTCTAGTGCACTGCAAAATAATTTCCTGACAGTTATGTAAAATCAGATTAAGTGATGACAGTTGATACTATTTTAATTCCTCTTCTTACTAAATCTCTACTGTACCTACAAAAAGACCAATACCTCTGTCTTAAAGTTGCTGAGCTGCATGTAGGTAACTGTTGGCAAAAACCAGTACATTTGCCCTGTTCCTTATTCTTCTCTTTCAGCATCAAATACTGTCCCACGCCAGAAACAAAATAAAAACTACAGGCATGTTCACGGTACCTAGCACTGCTCAGCAACAACACGTTCCTCATATTAGGTGCAACTTTGTTCTAGAGTAAGCCTAGAAGTCACACACACACAGAGATCTACCTTTTTACCTTATAACTGTCCAGAAGAACGATTTTGAAATTTTTTTTCCAAGGTCATCAATCTCTGACATCTCCAGGAGATTTAAGAAGTTGCAGGTGGACTACACGAAATGGATTTCCTCCAAGGATGAGAATTCTTCAAGTTAATCTCTCCCTTTCAGTGATCCTGTTTCTTTTTTTAGCCCAACTATTGATTGCCATGCTCATTAGCTGCTACTGTTCAACTGGAATGCAACATAGATCATTTTAATACCACAATGAACTAAATAGCTCAGGACTCTGGCAAGAAAGGGACCATGACATTCAATTGCCTAGATGCAATATGGAGGGGTTTCTTTTCTTTTGGTCATTTATTGCAGGTTTTTTTATTGATCTATTTATACTAGAACACCTCAAGCAACATAAGCTTATAAAAAGATTTCAGACACCTTAAGGGAATGAAAGAGGAAAGGCCTTCAGTAGGTATATTCCTCTAACATCACTTTCTGCAGTAGCTGCATGCTCATTAGTGGTGTCTCATGCAATTACTGAGCTGCCTTTTTGTGCAGTATCAGTCGGAGTGAAGAAAGGCTGCAGGTTAATACATGCCATTTGTTGAACACCCATTTTCCCTTTGCTGGTACATCTGTAAGACTTCAGGAGGCTTACTTAAAGCATACAGTATTGGTCACTGGTGGTCACACTGTTCATAATGAAGATAGCAGGAATTTTCCCACCTACTTCAGTAGGAACAGATATGAGCCAGTGCTTCTGAAAAAAAATTTAAAAATTCCTCCCCCGCCCCCCAACAAAGCCCAACTTTTAATTTAGAAGCAGCTGTAAGATAGGAAAAGTTATTCTGTGCATTTATAAAAGCATAAACCAGAATAAAATTTAATATTTATTAGAATTTCTTCCAGTAACAGCATTCAACATCTTAACAAACCAAGTTGTGAAGTCTTAAAAAAATCTAGGATTACAAAAAAAACTTAAAATAAGTTGTTCCTTATATTTAATGGCAACAAAGGGGGAATTTCCTGTTTAAAAAGAAACTTGCCATATAAACAGTATTATTTTAAGAAAATGTGATTAACATGATACATAATTTTCAGAATGGATACACAGGGTATGAATACCAACCTGAATGGAACAGAGGGGCAGAACACACTATCTCCTTAAAAAATCTCAAAATAGGCTGTTTGAAGAAAGGGGAGGGAAGAGGGTCTTTCCAGTGAAATAACTTAGAAGTTATCACGCAATGGACAAAAAAACACAAGAGTACAGAAGACATTACATGACATCCCATTACAACACCCCCTCAAGTCTGGTTATACAGTAAATAAAGTTAGTAAAGTGCATCTTTTAAAGACTTGTCTAGTGAAATAGCTTTTCCAAATATAAAACACAACACAAGACGTGCAGTAACAGTTAAATCATAGTGTAAGTTTTTAAAAACTAATCTTAAACTTTTCATTCACTGAAGAAGAAAAGTTTTAACCGCAGTAGTGTTCACATTACTCTTCAATAGGATGCATCCTCATGTGCTTTTATTACTTGGCAAATCTTTAAATATGGAGCATGGCAAAACTATGCAGTTTAAGCAAGTGCTTCTCTCAGTGTAATACAATTCTTCAAATGGCAGAACAGCCACATGCAGCACAACCATGTTAGATTTTGGGAAGCTTTGGTGCACTAACGACGGGATTGGTCTCCTGCAAATACCTTCGCCCTGCACTCTTATAGTCGTAGGTGCAGGTGTGAGTCTCTGCATAGCGGTGCGTTGCACAGAAGTTGTTTCCACATCTGAAGAACCAAGAATATTAGAAGTTACAAGCTTTTAGAAGCTTTTAACTCTGACATGTTGGGAGCCCTTTAGCTTAATCATGTCTTGTTTATTCGAAATAACTGCTTGGATTCTAATCATCCTTGACTGATAACATTAACTGGTGGGGTAATCAAAATGACATTTTTGTAACGGAATGTCAGAGTTTTGCCCAACGGTCTCTTCAGCTGGGAAGTTAAGCAAGATCAGTATTCCTGGAACCAACTAGCAAGGCTCAAACACTTTTAAATTAAGAATTACAGGCTTTGATTTATTTTTGTTTTTAAAGACCTCACGCAACATCGGTTGGTAGAATGCAGAGGACAAAGCCATGGAATTAAAATAATGGCATCAGGTGAAATCCACGTAATGCAGTTCAATTTAAAAACACCACATCATTCAGACCACCAAGATAAGATGTTTAGCTCAGCACAACTGCTGCCTGGCATGAACTAAAATTAGTCATTTGAGATTAATAAATACAGATTTAGTCAGCTGTAAAGACATCAGATATACTATCTATAGGGACCATGACTTCCTATATGACTGGATAAGGATGCATCTTTCCAATATCAGTTGCAATTTCAATGAGTTAAGATTATGATTTTTGCCTCCAAACTTGACAACTTGGCAGCTAATACTCCTAACAGGAGAAAAGCATACTCTGGATGTTGCATGTTTTAAGTGGACACTGATGTTAGCGTCCTGTTTCCTGATTATTTGATAAAGTTGCTTCTTGACAGTAAAACAATGACATCATTCAAAATCAGAATTCTCTTGAAACGGATTAAGCATTACTCATCCAATTTACTGTTTCACTGTTAGACTATATTCCTCTATCTATCTATCTGGGCTTGTAATAAACTCTGCAGCTGTTCCTGAGGCTTTGTGTGCCTGATAATAAATTTGTTTTTCTTTGGTCCTTGGTCCCATAATCACCAGTTCTCTCATATGACTGTATCCTCTATTGGGTTCATGTTCCATTCTAGTAAAAGGTCATATGGTTGCTCCTTTTGAAACTAGAACAAATGCTATTCTTGGAGATGTGCAATTTCCCTCCTTCTTCTGTGCTTCATTTTTAACCTTAGGCAAGCTGCTTAGTTACTTCTAGAAGAGCTTATAGCTATTTGTTCAGCAGGAAAGTGTGCAATGTCCAAAACTGTTTCAAAATCAAAGACTGAAGAGTCAGTAAGGAGGCAGTTCCCCACCCTGAAACTCTCCAACACAGTTCCCCAACGGCATAAGCCTTTTTCATTGTGGTGTTGATTGGCATGAACCAAGATGAGCTTCAAATGTAGCCCTCACAGTGCAGCAGTTCCCAGCCTTCACTAGCTCATGGGAAATGAGACTGAGAAAACACTATCTTGTTGGAAACACCACTCTGAGAACCAAGATCAACAGAGAAAGTGTGAGGGGTTTTTTGGGTTTTATTTTTTTTGTTTAAAGTTTCCAGTGATCACCACCAAGCACCAGGTCTCATTGTGTTGTCTGCAAGTCATGATTTGGGGAACCAGCACTCTGGTATTCTGCTTTTGAGATGCTCTAGATGCTCAAAGGTGACTGAACTCACACAGGGAACAGAACACATACAAGATTAAAAAGTTGTCAAATATAAATTCAAATGAATTCACAAACTGTGCAGATGTGTTGTAACAGGGACAAATCTGAGGGATATTTTCTGAAAAATGTAACAAAACCAGTTTTTCCTCAAGTTGCTAATGATATAATTATTGTTGAGAAACTTCGTAGAACATAAATCTGTAGCAAGTTCTCCCCACACCGGTATAAAATGTCGTAATTTTTGTCTGTAATCATGTTCTTTACTTCCTCATATCTTACATTCTGATACCTTGCATTTCTCGATTTTCCTGGAAGAACATACACCTCAACAGCAGAACAGGTACAACATTCCTAAATTTTAATTCCTGGAGTTTTGCTGAACTGAGAATTGCAACTTTTCTGAAAGTTGTCTTGATTTGCTATGCTTAAGGAATACCATGCAGCATAGAAAACATTTTGGTTTACCCAGCTATCAATTTTAAACAACAGCTGGCTATATGGTCAGCCTACCTGCACTCATAGCTGGTTGCCAATCCCGTTTTCTTGCCACAAAGAAAGCAATGCTTTGTAATTTTCTTTTTTGCTTGAATTGAGCCATTCACAGGTGGAAGATGGGTTGCTTCACCTGCTTTCAGAGGTAGAAAGACAGCAAAGACATTTTTACTTATTCCTGATCACAAACCAGTTAAATGTTATCTTTTGAAACCCAGATTCATTTTGCATTTCTTAGGATACTTCAGGTGGGAACTCCAAAGCCTAAACAGAAGAAAAAACCCCAAAAGCCAAAAGAGAAAACACACCTCAAGCCTCTGAACACCTTTGGAAGAGGCAGCGCAATGCAGGACTTAGACCCATTATTTTTAATACCTGTTAAAAATTCACATAATCAAGAAGTTACAGAGGAATCAAGAAGCACATCTCCTCATGGTCTTCCCAAATGCAAAATGAAAACACATTATGTGATTGGGAAAGCACTGCATACAATGGCTTTCCAAAGAATCCGTTGGGTATTCAAGCACCTGGCACCTAGTATATTCAGGAGCTAGTAACTTGAGTTTGTCAAATAAATACTGCAACATTTTAAAATCTTGGTGGTACTCCGTAATTGCAAGAAAAGTACATTATTAGACTAAAGGCCTTTATTTAGCTACACGGTTTCATAAAGGCACTTTGCAGTTGTTTGTACAATTTCTGTACTTAAACATTTACTTTACTTTGACGTTTTTCCCTGTAATTCTTGGCCATTGCTTTATTAACTGGAGAGCATGTAAAGAAAAGGCATCTTCCTTCCCTCTGTAGAAGCAAGCTCTTTGTCCACAACTTGCTTATGCACATTTACGATATGCTAGGACAGCAGAAGTGAGCAATGCATCCTCTCAAACATTTTTTCAGTGCTTCTACTGCTATACGGTCAGGGTGCTCCCAAGGAGTGACCTCCTGAGTTCGGAAGTATTTTTTGTCCAGTGCACCTTTAATCCCAAAAATCATTTCTCAGCTGAGATACAGCAATCTACATTCAATAGTAACACCAGGCAGTCACTACACATTGCAGTCATCGCTACCAATCAGTGCTATCCCACTGCTATCTAGCATTGAAAATTCCAGGCAATGTTTGTCCATGCTATCAATTTCATCATCTAAAAGCATACTATTTCAGAAGCAACAGTTAGCCCACTTTGTGAAAAAGACAGAGCTTGAAGACAGCCCCCACCGTGGACCATACTTAAACAGAAAGAACAATACACCTGTCCTCACATTTACTGTCCCTGCAGCAATTACATGTAAACCGAATCTGTCCTGTGGCCAGTTGAACAACAGATCACTACCAGCCACTTCTCTCTCAAGAGCAGGCATGATATGATGACACCAACTTTGACTTCCTCGTGTCTGTAACCTTTTGGAAAATACACTTTTGTCTGACATAAAATACACCAGAGGAGTGTAGTCTTCATAGTTTTATCGAAAATTACACAGATGATAGTAGGCTTCCCCATCAAGCACATATGGATGTTAGGGTATCACCTCTTCTACCATGGAGTAGGTAAGGACAGACCTGTTTATTAATTGATTGACAATTCAAGGCTGCACCCCCAGTTATGAAATGAAGGCACAAACCACTATTTTAGCAGCTTTTGCTCCCCCGTCCTTACAATTATGTCATTTTTCCTGTTGCAGCTGCTATTTGAAGATCTATCTTCTAGCTCATTCTCTATACTAGATCTTAAGATCCTGGAATACATGCTTGTCTCTTTTTTTTTTTCCTAAGGTCATACAGAAAGGAAAGAAAACCTGCAAACTGTAAGTCAAAGATGTGAAGAAATAAAGTTAATTGTGCCAAGAATCTTTAGTTCACTGTCTTAAGAGTTTTAGAAGTTCTAATCTAGACAATTCCATTCCTCCCAAAAGAATTAATCACATAAGAACTTAACATTTAAGCACAACACATCCATTTTCAATAGATGTCAAGCATTAAGCACTCCACAGCTATCAAGAATAGTGCCCACCACAAAAAAAAAAATCCCAAAAAAACACCAGAGAAAAATCTGTGCTATATTAGTAATCTTCAGCATCCGTGCCCTTATTGCTTCCTTCCCACTTTTCTTTTGCCAAATCCTTCTGGTTCAGACTGTGGTCCTAAAGACAATGCTACCGATACATTTGGCTCTGATTTTAGTACACTCAGAAGTATTCACAGAACTGACCTGTTGGAAACTTCAGACCAGAAAGTCATGTTAATGTCTACAGATGATAGTCAGAATTCATTAAGTATTAAAAAAAGAGCTAGGAAAGTCAGTTATGTCTACTTGAGATCTGGATGACTGTATGTTAAAGAAGTGCTTAAAATCTTAAAAGTTATACCATGCTATAGAAGCGTAACACAGCGAGGACTTTGGAGGCCATATGCCTTACAAAGATAAATGATTCTTATCCTCTATATATGTGACACATCAGGAAAGATTAAAGAGTCATCTTCAAT